CTTAGTTACCATAGTAGTTCCGGTAAAACGGTCTTTCCGATAGAGCACTCACTCCTGATAACTGAAGATTCGAAGAATACCGAACTGCAAAGTAAAACGCTCTTTCAGTCTGCATCTGAAACGTCGAAAAGAACAATTCGGACACCTGTTGTTTCACAAGCACATAGAACAGTGTTTGTTAACAAAAAGAATTACTAAACTGTACAACACAGCAAGAACAAGTGTTTTGTATTGCTTGTTGAACTGATAAAAGCAAATGAAGACGTTATTGAATTAGATCTAGTCAGTTCACTCCCCCCAGTAAGTTAAAATAAATTCTGAATTGTAAATATAAGTAAAGCCCTAAATTAAGTTTCCGGTAAAACGGTCTTTCCGATAGAGCACTCACTCCTGATAACTGAAGATTCGAAGAATACCGAACTGCAAAGTAAAACGCTCTTTCAGTCTGCATCTGAAACGTCGAAAAGAACAATTCGGACACCTGTTGTTTCACAAGCACATAGAACAGTGTTTGTTAACAAAAAGAATTACTAAACTGTACAACACAGCAAGAACAAGTGTTTTGTATTGCTTGTTGAACTGATAAAAGCAAATGAAGACGTTATTGAATTAGATCTCGTCAGTTCACTCCCCTCAGTAAGTTAAAATAAATTCTGAATTGTAAATATAAGTAAAGCCCTAAATTAAGTTTACGTAAAAAGTGAGAGTAAACTAGTAAAACTGAGATAAACCAAAACATGTTTAAACACGAGTTGTAAATGTTAAAACTAATTTGAAATGCTTAAACCTTCTTAAAAACACTATTCACTTTGTAAAGTGAAATTAGAAATTATGGTCTAAAACAACACCAACATCTTCTCACATTAAATCCTTTGAGCAAGAAGAAATACGTCGCAAGAAAGTTTAAAGTTATAAATGTGATCAAATCCTATCTTAAACTTAAATTCTGTGTAAAGCTATCTAATTCTAAGTATTGATAATATCATGTTTTGTCCTAAATATTGATAAATTCCTCCTTACAGGGGCAAACATGGCTTTTCATACTTAGCAAAATATACTAAGAAAACAATATTCGCACACAAAATACGTCTTGCATACAAGCTCTGTGTTCATTGAGAGTTGAGCTCTGGAGTGTGACTGCTCCTAACCCTTATCTGATTCTTCAGTAGGAAAAATTATTTTCTATTTCTGTATGTCTTTCCTTGAAATGAAAATTGGTTAATTGCAAGTTAGAAGACCTAGACTTTACCTTCTTTCTAAACAGGGTAAATGAAGTGTACTTGAGCAAATCCTAGCATTAAAACTGAGGATAATAATAATAAAGATTTTGCCTTTCACTGTGCCAAAAAAACGTCGATTTTGTGTTTTTTTATTCTTAGCTAAGTGGCTAGAGAATTATTAGAAGAATAGCCGCTTTTCCAAGTTCAGAAGATTTGGATACTACAAGATCCCTATGATTATGAGACGTTTTAATTCAATGTAAGGAAAACAGTCGTATTTGGCGTGGTTTGAAGAAAGAGATAAAAGACAAGGCGATCAACAACAAAAATAAATAAGAGAGAAACTTGGAGATGTGAAAGTAGGCTAATAAATGGAGAATGAGAGAAGCGCAGGAAAATACACTGCCAGTAAGAACTAGTTCTAAGCCTAATTTTCTTATGTGTTATTGATGTAGTACTAAACAAAAAATCGTTATGTTTAAATTTTGTTTGGATCAATTCCTGATAAAAATAAGTAAAACTTTAATAAATTTGAAGGGAAAGTGACGTGCGAGTATAGTACGATCGAAACCAAGTCGACCTGTAAAAAAAGTGTTGTCACATGGTATATCCAATAAATTGGTATCATATGGATGACCTACAACCTTAAACAGAGATTAAGCATATTAAAAATCATAATAACCTTTAACCAATGAAATGCAGCAATGTATAAAACACTCAAATACTCCTTAAATGAAGAAAGTATACAATACATGAAATAAAACCCTTTAAAACAATGAAAACACATTAATAAAATATAGACCCTTACAGCTACAAATTAAAATACTCATTGCATTACACAGATTAAAAATAAACTATGCCATTAAAACTGAAAACAAGTTAAGCTTAAACCTTTCACATTAATAATAATACTGAATAGAATAATCCTTACATAACAAGGAAGCTCAATCATAGTAACTAATTACATGTCTAAACAAAGCGTGCAGAACAGAATTCCACTGAAATACAAAAATACACATGTGCATTAAGCAAACACAAAAGAAAACTCTTTAACGTAAGCAAATGTAACCATACATACATACATTGCATATTGTACAAACAATGAAATTCTAATCGTAAATATCTATACACTTTACAATAATAAATAAAAAGAACTGGCCCATTAAATACCTATATACAGTTGCTCAGTTTTTGTATTCAATTAAATCAAGAAGTTGGAGTTACTCATCTAGAGAAGCCCCAACAGCAAATCCTACACCGCGACTGAAGATTTCCGGTGCACCATGCTGGTCCAACAAATAATCTTTTTAGTTCTTACAAGAGCTTTCCAAAGATTTCAAAATATTAGGTGAAAAGAATTCCAAATGGTCAGAGGAACTCAATCAAGAGTGTGAGTTAAAGCTGTAGTGGCTACAAAAACAACACTCCGTTCTGCAAAGGTTTATCAGGAACAAAAGGTGAAAAGCCTATAAATAAAAATCCTTAGTCAAGCTCCATGTCTACAGGCTTGTAGAACACGATCCCTACTACCTATGGATAGTTTGATTAACACAGGTATCCTCGAGTTTCAAGATTCACTTAAACTAGCTGCCTCCAAGGTTTTCACAGGTATCACAATGCTCTTCAGATAGCTGTCACCTCAATGCATTCCATCCACTACCATCTGGTTGTTGAACCAACAAAGCCTGGGTCTGGTAGGAAAGAAATGAGGAGGGCGAGACTGTAATGTAATTGCTCACACTAGGACCAATATTAGATTGAATGCCACTCAGACGTTACCTTAGTTACCCCAACCATTGAAATTTAATGACACCAGCATCTTGTTTCAGTTTTTATTTCCTTCAGCTACAAGTTCAGCACAGAGGGGAATAGTGTGTTTTTACTCATATCCATTTCCAGAAAAGCCAATACCTGCCAAGTATTTCAAACCAAAACATTTACATGAAATTACATTTACATTTAAATGAAAGCAGTTGCTTACTGTTTCTTTAAATAATGCCTTCAAGTACTCACAGTTAACTTCATAACTCTATCCAACATTCTGATCATACTTTAGTATTCTTACTCAAGCCTTTACAGTCTCTTATGTTCTCAG